TCTTCCATTTCCAGGTTTTCCCTTTTCCTATTTTGTATGGATTTCTCTCTACCCGTGTACGATTCCAGATTTTTCTAAATTCAAAATTTTTTTTTTCTTCTTTGCCGCGAATTTAACTGCGCCATTTCTCTCCAGAATTTAGTATTGGACCTGTTCAAATGGAGAAGCTGAGGTTTCCTGTTGGGCTTTCTAAGCCCAATTTTATTTTTCAAATTCAAACGTAAAGCCCGATTTGTCTTTCCCACATCTTATTTTCTGTTTTTCTACGTTAATAACATTAATTAATTAATGGATTATCTATGTTACCGTTCGGATTGCAGCATATTATAAAATTAAGATCTTTAAATGAGAGGAATATCTAATATTGAAGTTTTTTTTTTTAATTTAAATATTATTATTTTATAATTCAATATGATCTAAATTGTAAAATAATTTTTTTAATTAATTAACAAAGTTTTATGTGGTAAATAGTGGGAAAGATCGATTATCAATAAAACAGAGGAATGAAGATCACAATATTGTTCTCTTTATACTCAAAAAAAAGGAGACCTTCTTAAAGTGATATAGATCGTAACTAAATAAGTATATCAATGAAATAATAACAAGAAAGATCAATTCATTTAGATAGACGAAACAAAAGAGCATCTACTTGTCATCTTCTTTTACAAACATTTCTATCATCTTACAAGTTTCAAACCCTATCTGCTAATGAAATCCACCCTCAGTTAAAAATGGAAAAAAGTTTGTAAGACATCATTTTTTTTTTTTGTTCAATAACTCAAACGGTCAGACCATCGGAGAAAACAACATTACAAAAATTAATTTACATATTCCCCGTCCTCCCCCCCTCCCTTCTTTTTTGTAATTAATAATATGTACTTGTGGTTTTAACCACGATAAAAGTGCACCAATGTCCTTGATTTCTTTATCAAGGATTCAAGCTGTCAGTGCAGCAATATTATAACTATTCTCTCGTTTCTCAATTTTTCACCAGTAAAAAAATATATATATATAATATGTTTTTTTTTTCCCCAAAACACACTTTAACTGCTCTATATGATACTAGTGAAAATTAGTAATAATTTCCCTTTTGTTAATTTACTAGCTTCAATGGTCAATCATTCCCTTTTACTGATTAAGCGATTCCTGCCTCTGCAACCTCATCTCCTCGTTGAACTTCTTTATAAATGCCTCCACTCGCTGATTCAACTCGTCCTGACTCAGCGACGGCTCCTTTCTCAGCTTCAGTACTATAATTGCACCAAACCAGAAGTCTTTCTTCAGTCCGCACTCGCACTTCGGAATGACCTGCAAAGCCCCGAGGTGGAACTCGGGGTAGACACTCCGATGCTTAAGTCAGCAATAATCGGGGCTACATTTAGGGCGGAGATAAAAAAAGCTTAGGGTTGGTTTCAATTACCTTTTGACATGGCCCGGAGGGGGTATTTATAGGATCCCATGAGGAACCCACGTGGCATGCCAAGCAAGATAGTCGGAGCCTGACGTGTCTATCCGGACGACAATTTCGGGACCGGGAATTTGAGAGGTATTCAGATGCACGGGTGTCCACCGTTCCTGCTGTGTTGCTCATTGTAAGGAATCAGGTGTGGACATGCTTATTGTCGTTATCATGTAGCTATTTGAGCGGGAAGTTTCGGATTCGTTCCTCACTTCGGTCATAAAGGAATTACTGTAGCAGTCCGAGGTTTGGCACCTCGGCCCTGTCCTTACACTATTCCCCCCCCGAAGTCATTCACTTGTGAATGATGTTGCTGGGGATAATAAGGGGAATGTATGAATAGAAAGAATAAAGAGCACAAAGAGTGTATCTTATATTTAAACATAGCCGTAGCTAATAATGAAAGATGTAAGAATGGGTCATACTGAAGTGGCTTAAATAAAGTATAATCTGAGCAGTCATGACCGGAGTGATAACTTGTAAAGATGATGACCGGAGTCATAACGTAGTCAATGTCATGATAAAAAATAATGACTGGAGTTATAAAAGTGAACGCCGTGATGGCAAATGATGACCGGAGTCATAAAGGTCGGGGCCGTAATAAAATATGACGACCGGAGTCTTAATGGCCGGAGCCGTACTAAAATATGATGACCGGAGTCATAATGGCCGGAGC